CCCCCACCCACCCACCCCAGTTCTTTCTCTTCTATTCTTCTGTATCCAGCTATTGCAATGTCCACTAATCAGACTTTGTTTTGGTCTTTCTTATTAACAGTTAAGTCTGGATTGTTGTGTGGCAGATGCTTGTCTGTTTTTTAGCTTTTTTGTTTTCTGTTACTTTGTCTGTTTTGTGGTCCCACCAGTTTTTGCTTGCAGGCAAGTGGCATTTCTTGAAGATATTCCATTGAATTATTGTTGCTACTATGTCATGCTACTGTTTGCAATCAGCTTGTGCAATCTTCTTGCAGCAACTAACAAAGTGGTCCATTGTTTCTTCAGCTTCTTTGCAGAGGCAACTTTTGTTGTCCCTGTCTTTTCAACTCTGGCTTTATATGCATTTGTTCTTAAGGCCCGGTCTTGTGCAGACAGAATTAGCCCTTCTTCTGTCTCTTTCTTCAACTTTCCTTCTCTTAGCCATTGCCAGGTAAGGAAATTACAAGGGCCAAAAGTCACATATCCATAGACATATATTGAGAAATAGAATCTTCCCAAGTTCCAGTTCACAGTATGTTATACATCTTTTCACCTTATTTTCATCCAGACACAACAGAAAAATGTGTTGCTGAAAATTTGCTTGTTACCACCTAATTTTGGCAGTTCATATGAGGAGGGGTGGACTATGAGCAGAGAAATGGTGTGAAGCTACATGCAGCTCTCAGTGATGGGTTGCCTACCAATGACATATACTATACCACATGATAGTCAATATTATGGTATTTTCCCAGACATTGTGCCTGTACTGTATATGTGTATGTAAACATTTCAGTCTTTCAAATAAGACTGATCATGGGGGGTCTTTCCTGTTTAATTCGCCCTTGTCTTTTCAAAGGGGCATTACTTCAGTAAATGAACAACCAAACTATCTCATGTGCCTAGAACATTAATTTTAATGTTCAACCTCTTTTTTAAATCATTTTAAATTTTAAATTTGTCTTATAAATTGGGGTGTTTTAAATTTGTTTTTGGGCCATGGTATTTAATGTATTTTAAATGGTTTTTAACATTTGTACTATGTGTATTTTATCTTGGCTGTTCACCGCCCTGAGTCCTTCGGGAGTAGGCCGGCATATAAATACAATACAATACACGAGCAAATACTAAATACAAACTCAAGGTAAACTGCTCCAAACTCGATTGCAGAAAATATTACTTCAGTAACAGAGTGGTCAATGCCTGGAATGCACTATCTGACTCTGTAGTTTCTTCCCCAAATCCCCAAAACTTTAACCTTAAACTGTCTACTGTTGACCTCACCCCATACCTAAGAGGTCTGTAAGGGGCGTGCATAAGTGCACCAGCGTGCCTACTGTCCCTGTCCTAATATTCCTATTTACTTACTCTTTTCATGTATTCAAATTATGTTTTTACTTTTACCTGTTATCTTATATATGCTTGACAAATAAACTTATGATTATGATACACCAAACTAGCTATCTTCCCCCAGCTATCCTGCCATCTTTAAAGCACTCTCCTTTTGCTTCCTGTCTCACCTCCCCTCATCTCAGCCATGGTGGGTGGAATGGAACAACTTACCACGACCAACTCACTACAGCCATCTTGCCGCAGCCAACGTGCCCCAGGACAATTCCATGTGGAATAACTCAATGTGATAAGTGTTATCTTCCACTATTATCTTCCACTGTTATTTCAATTGACAAAAATGGAAATAACATCCATTGAACAGTAGTGAATAACATTTATTACATTGAGTTATCCCGCATGGATTTGTCCTGTGGCGAGTTGTCCCACAACAGGTTGACTTGGTGAGATAACCTTGGCAAGGTAGCCGTGGCAAGTTGGCCACAGCGAGTTGTCCTAGACCCCATGGTGAGAATATCAGAGTAGCATATCTGACTAACCTTTGTCTCCTCCTTGTCCCACAGGAGGGGTTGGGAAAAAAAGTTGAATTCTCTCTCAAATAAATAAGGCTTTCTCCACACTGTTTTCAAACCTTTACATTTGGAAGGAAGGAAAATGGAGGGGTTTCCACCTTGTCCATATTAAAAGAAGGACGTATGAAATATTTCATTTTCTTGAAGAGAAATAAAACATAAAAAACAGAAGAAAACTCATAATTCACATTTGCAATATAATCCAATTTATCCATTGAATCCATTGAAACATACCGTATTTTTCGGAGTATAAGATGCACCTTTTTCCCCAAAAGAAGAGGGTGAAAATCTGGGTGCGTCTTATACTCCGAATGTAGCCCTGCCCAGCTTCTCAAACAGAGCTTCAGAGGCTTTTTTTCTGAAGCTGTTTCGGAGGCTTTCAGAGGCAGGAAAAAAAGCAAAAAAAAAAAAAAAAGCAAGGCACAAAGCTCACAACCAAGGAATCTCTTGCTAAAATTCACCTCTGGGAACAGCTGATTGGGAGACCGATCCACCAGCCAATCAGCTTTTTCTTATTTTCCTCCCCAAAAACTAAGGTGTGTCTTATACTCCAGTGCATCTTATACTCCGAAAAATACAGTATTTTATTTCATCGAATGAGAAAACAAGGAAGTTTTCTTAGACTGGTGTATACATGATAGATTCTCCTTGAAGTTAAACTGGAGTTCTGATAACTTCATGAACTTCCCAGTCTAGCCTACAGATTGGATGGATGGATGTAGGTTGTTTCAATGTATTACTGCATACAGTATGTGTTCATGCAGATATCACACATGCTCACAAATTTAAAGCAAGCAAATCTTCACACAGAAGAAAAACTGAAACATTTGTGCAGATGATATTACACTGCATTTCTGGACAATTTATTTACTCTATTAGCTATTAACCAAGCAGCAACAAATATCTATAATTCAGTTTCGTTAAAATTATAACTATATTTTATACACTTATTGCAACTTTTTAAAACAGCAATTATAACTCAAAATAACTCAAAAATAAGATTCAAAATAGTATTAAGGAAGATTAAACTTCTGCTGTTGCAACATACAGTGCCTCGAAAGGCAAGCAAATGCCAGAGAATGGGGTTGATTTTGTCTTTGTGGTTTCTTATTGACTCTGATTCATAAATAGGGCATTATAAGAATCTTGACATTTAACTCAAAGCCTGCAATATAATTTGATTCTTTTAATGAAATACAAGAGCTTTAAAAAGATGTTTCTTTTCCTCTCTCTCTCCTCCATCAGTGATGACATTTCTTAGAACCAGCTGTGACATTAAATACATTTTGAGAAACGCAATACAACTTGTTGGAAGTACAGACTGTAATATTTACATCCAACTCATAACCAGTTTAACTTTTTTCTCTACTGTTCTGACCCACAGGAAAATTGCTCCTCTGAAGCTGCTATTTGAATTGGAAGGAATTTCTTCATTATAATTTTGATAGTTATTTGATATATCAGATTATGCTACTTAAAAAAAATTAGGTGAATCGAATCTCACATAGTTTAACCTCCAATACATAAAAGCCTTCAGTGGCTACTTATTGCTTCATATTTCTATATATAGACAGGGTGTGGGGTTTTTGAAGAAAATACCTTAGTACACATAGATAGAAAATATTGCTCGGAGATCAGTAAATTCTGAATTGATCTATTGGAATATGCTTCCTATCCACAATTGATGATTTAATGATACTCATAGCTCTCTGGATCAAACTGAGAGCATCTTTGTCACAGAATCTACAATAATTATACTCCAAACATTCCATATACTATTAAGTATTAAACAGGAAATATGAATATATATATATATATATATATATATATATTATATTAAAAAGAAACCAACAAGAAGCAGAACTATTAAATATTCTTTGCATTTTCATTCATTATTACCTTTGATTCCTAGTTGCATCATTCCAGAAAGAGGCCTATTTAACCTAATGTCATTAGATAGAAATCAGTTTGGCCATTTAAAATTATTACATATTGCAGTTGTTGCACTAAGTGGATAAATTTTTGTGCTGCTCATTAAGGAGGTACTAAGTTTTCCACAGTGTTATCACAACTCTTGGGTGGCAACATGAATCCCAAAAAAGGAACAAATTTGGCACCATGTTACATAAAATAAAGGCAGATTTTAAAATAATTACTGTGACATAATAGAAATGACATCCATCTTGACAAAGTACGGAAGGCTATGATAAGGTGACTTATGTGCCTTTACTTACTCTCCAACTGAGGGAGTATTCATGGAGTTGTGAATTCTCCAACATTGGAAGTGTTTAAGAAGAGATTGGATAACCATTTGTCTGAAATGGTATATTGTTTCCTGCCTGAGAAGATAGACTTCCAAGGTCCCTCCCAACTCTGTTCTATTCTATTCTATTCTATTCTATTCTATTCTATTCTATTCTATTCTATTCTATTCCATTCCATTCCATTCCATTCCATTCCATTCCATTCCATTCCATTCTATTCCATTCTACATCAGAAAAGTCAATATGGCAGCCATAATGGTGTAATTAATGGTATACCTTTTTACTGTGTGCATCACATATAGGACACACATTAAAACACCCAGAGTTTCAATTGCACCACTCTGCCATCAGTTTCAATTTCCTGAGCACACCCGCAGAAACCTTTGCTCCAGCTGCTAATTATTCACAAGGATCTTTAGTTTAAAGTACTACCTAAATTGATTCTTATTTATCTTTAAGCCATACGCGTCTTGAAAATCTCTTCAAGTGGAGCTTGCCTTTATATGGAAAATCATCTTTGACAGCCCTTTAAATGGATGATTGCCTTTTGTAAAGTAGGATATTTGAAACATCTTAATCACAAGCTTTTGTATTCACCTTACATTTGTTGTAATATAATAACTGAAAATTGCTTAAATCGTACATGAGTTGTTTCATCTGAACAGAACTAACATGTGGGAACAACGAAATGCTACATTCTAAGGCAATTTCTTCCTAATGGCCAAATATGTAGAGATTGTTTTTTGAGGAATAATTTAGTAAAGGATCCTTAATAAATGACAACAGGCATCACTAACAATTTAGAATATAGGGATATAGTTGTTAATCTTTGTTCTGTGCCTTTGAGAAATGCATTCAGCAATCCATACAATATTTCTGCTTTCTTGTTCCTTCAGTTTAACGTAGGAATAAAAAACTCCAAAATGAAATTGACTGTTAAATGCCAGCACGTTCATTTTCACCTGTACAAAAGGAGAAATATATTTATTTATTTTTTAAAAAAAAGATAACTGGTTACCTTTAAATCATGTCTTTCCCTCTTCAGAATTCAAAAGAGCTTTACAAATGGCAGTAAATCTAAATGGATTTTCCCTTTGCTTTGCTCAATAAAAGCTGGCCTGAGGTTTAACTATATCTGAGCATTTGTGGCAATGCTTCAAATAGCTCACAGGATCATCATTCACAGAAGGGCCAAGGAGGGCAAAGCTGTCAAAAGCAGCATCGTAATATTGTGCTATTTGCTCCAGCCCTTTTCTATATGCATTGTTACATTATACCTGCCCCATAGGGATGTAATTCGTGGCAAGACATTCTGATTCTGCTTTCATCCTTCTGATGAAGAATGTCAAGTTGTATGCCACTTATCACAAAGGTTAAAAATACATTTTTTAAAAAATTAGAAGCAAGGAAGTTTGTGAATCTTAGAGCAAAGTCCACACCAACCTTTGAGTCACATATCAGAAAGATTCACACTGCAAAACAGGATGGGTGCGCCAAAAGATGTTTAAAGGGTGGGTATTACATTAAAGGCTTAATGTATTAAAATTAAAGACATGAAATGTTAATATTATAACTTTGTATTCATTTTATTATATTTATGAAACATGGATTTTCATATGATTACAGTGATTTCAAACCCTTCAAGTCTCAGTCAATTCTCAGAGTTTAAAATAAATCAAGGTCTCTGTGAAGAAAATCAAATGAGCCCAGAGTCACCTTGTAGGGGAGAGATGGGCAGCATGAGATAGATAGATAGATAGATAGATAGATAGATAGATAGATAGATAGATAGATAGACAGACAGACAGACAGACAGACAGACAGACAGACAGACAGTCAGTCAGTCAGTCAGTCAGTCAGTCAGTCAGTGGTGGGCTGCTGCCGGTTTAGACTGGTTCGGGCGAACCGGTAGTTCTGACAATCAGCTGGCCCCGCCCACTCACCCCCGCCTTATCCTGTGCTATATTTCCTTCTTTCTGGCTCAGCTGATTCACGTGGCACAGCTGATTTCTGCACCTCCGGTGTTCTATTTACCGGGGCTGCCTTAGAAGGTAAGCAGCTGAGCTTCAAATTGCTGTATTTTGAATGCTGCAGCAAGTGTGTTAGGCACACGCGCATGCTCACAGAACCGGTTGTTAAACCAGTTGCGGCCCACCACTGTAGATAGTTGATGGATGATAGCAATCTGTTCTGTTGGTTACATGGGGACATGCAAAGCCACCTTAAAAAGGTAAATTCCCCTCGCACATGTGCTAGTCGCTCCCAACTCTAGGGGGTGATGCTTATCTCCATTTCAAAGCCAAAGAGCCAGCGCTGTCCGAAGACATCATGCTGGTCATGTGGCTGGCATGACTAAATGCCAAAGGTGCATGGAACACAGTTACCTTCCCACCAAAGGTGGTTCCTATTTTTCTACTTGCATTTTTTACGTGCTTTCGAACTGCTAGGTTGGCAGAAGCTGGGACAAGTAACAGGAGCTCACCCCGTTACACGGCACTAGGGATTTGAATCGCTGAACTGCCAACCTTTCGATCGACAAGCTCAGCATCTTAGCCACTGAGCCACCGTGTCCCTTATAGAGACACCTTATAATGCACCTTTTCCAACCTACTAATCTAGGAAAACTTTTTTGAAGTCCTTTCCTAGGCTTAGGTACATCCACAGTAGATATGTCTGTTGGGAGGCCCACAAAACAAAATGTCTCGGAGTACATTGAAAAGAAAGAGTTTGGGAAGACAGTGTTTGAAAGGTAAATCAAATCTTACCTCAAGCTCAAAAAAGGCATCTTCCAAGGTTTTGTCACCTGTACTACCTCCAACCATTTCAAAGCAAGCCTTGTATTCCTGAAAGCAGAAGCAGCCACTAAATATTCTGTAAAACATTCACAAATTGCTTCCTTTTGTTTATAAGTGATCTTGGTAAATCGATTCTTCAGTGCATATTTCTACTTCACATGTTTTATAAATTGCAAAGCACGTTCCCTCGCTCTCTCTTTCTCCCCTTTCTTTAAATTACCCAGTTGCATCCACTGTTGCGCCGCTCTTCTCCCCTGGATGTCCCCTCCCACTGTCCTCTCCTCATTATTTATAGAATTATATAGTAATACCATTATAACATCAACTGTTTTTATCAGCAGTCATTCTTCCAGAACAATCATATTTTGTATCTCAGAAAAGCAAGAACAGCAAATGGAAATGGAAATAGCAATCTCCATCATTGGCCAGAGAGCTCCATGCATTTCCTTTAAGGAAGCAGGTCAATGTTATCCATTTGCTTTGTTTAGAATCTGGTACACCCAGTATGTAAGATTTTTAAAATTTGCCAACATATACCCTAAAGTGATATAGATAGAATACGTTTTTATCAGGCACAATTCGGAAATTACTTACAGCATAGTAGTCCGCCACACCCTTCACTTGCTCATAATCATCAGTCTTGGCGAGCATATCTAAGCCTTCTGGATACAGTCTGCCACAAGTTGGATACAGCTTCTGCCTGTCCTCTTTACTTAGTTCTGTTCCAAATGAATTAATTGTGATAATAAATGCCCGCCGGTCAGCTTCAAACTGAATAAAGTAAAACATATGACAATTTTACATGTTTTTTAAAAGACTCATTCATAGATACATAACTGTTACGCTTCGTTTTAGTAATCCACTGAAATTCTCTCTGTCTTTTGGCAATGTTGATTTTAAAAAGGTTTTTTTTTTTCACCTGGTTAAGTTTTCTGCTCTTGGTTAATAATATAAAAGTTAAGTAAACACCTTTTCCATCCCACTGGGAACTCACATTATTTCCTAGTAATGTAACATATTCCAAAGGAAGAATTGAAAGAGCACAAATAAATTAGTTCTGTGCAGAAATATCAAGATTTTTAACCAATGAAATATTTCAAACCTTACTTATTAGAAAGAAATCAGTAGGCTGTGTACTACAGAAGTGAATCACTTTTTTTCTTTTTCTTTTTTTTTTGCAATCTTTAATTCTGGCTGTTTATGCCCAGGACAGGTGTCAATGGAACTATAAGAGAAGGAAGTTCCAGCAGTGGATCATTGATTGATTTCAGTTTTTCTCAGTTTCTCAGTTTTCCAAATCTTTTTGATTTGAACTTTTGATAAAGTTCTTAGTTTTCCATTCAGAAGTTTTTATGAATTCCATTCCTACATGAGTTTGAAACTTCTTTTTAAAAAACATAACAATATGTAGGCATTTTTGCACATTGTTCCAAACAGATGTTATTTGCAATTTTGCCTAATGTTACATTTTTGTATATTTCTTTTTGCAAGCACTTCCCCCTTAATGTAATGCATTTTTTTTTTGTTAATTTTATTAAATATACAATTTAAAAACTTGGTGCGACTTGTCTGGTACATATTTTTCTAACACTTTTTCTTTCATATATATATATATTTAATTTGATTTATATGCCGCCCTTCTCCGGAGACTCAGAGCGGCTTACAATGTGCTAAGCAATATTACAATATAACATCATGCATATTCCATATATACTTTTTGTACATTCAATCACACTTCAGTTACATACATATTCCCTTTGTATCTATTCAACTCCAATTTATTCCTATCTAATATTTCTTATATTATTTTATTTATTTTTCTCCCCTTTTCTTCACTCTGTTTCTAATTCTCTATCCCTACATTCCTCCTTTTCTCTAGCCATTTATAAAATGTATTCCAGGTTACATAGAATTCCGATTCATCTTTATCTTTGAGCTCCATTGTTAACCTGTCCATTTCTGCACAGGTCAATATTTTGTTGATTATATCTACCTCTTGTGGGTTCTCTCTGCCTTTCCAATTTTGTACGAATATCAACCTTGCTGCCGTTAATATGTGTACCATAAGATATATTTCTTCTTTTTTGTAATTATCCCTTACTATACCCAGAAGGAAGAGTTCTGGCGTCATATCTATCATCTGGTTTAACAGCTCTTCTAGCCACTTTTATATTTTGAGCCAAAAGTCCTTAGCTTTCGGGCACCCCCACCACATATGATAATAAATGCCTAGTGTTGCTTTACATTTCCAACATTTCGGTGAGCAATTTTTACACATCTTGGCCAGTCTTGTGGGTGGGAAATGCCACCTGTAAAACATCTTGTATTGATTTTCTTTATATGCAGTGGCTAGGGTAAGCTTTCTGTTCCTCTCCCATAGTTTTTGCCAGCTATCTAGATCTATGCCATACCCAAAATTCTTACTCCAGGTGAGCATGGTCTCTTTCACTTTCTCGTCTATCATATCGTAATCCAGTAAATATTTATATAATTTCCTAATCATCTTCACATCTGCTCCTTGTAGGATTTCATCCAATTCTTTCGGTTCGGTGCATTCTTGTACATTTATTTCGTTAATACATTTTTCTCCAACTTCTTCTGTCCAATGGATATATATTAATGTGGATTTGTATAGACTATGTTCACAGGATACTAAATTATAGGATCAACAATAGTATGAGCTCTATCATCTATTAGTTAAATCTATGTTTCATGTTCTGGCTCCGTTGGACAGTTGAATAGGATGTATGCAATTCAATTCAGGAAGTGATAAGTGCCTCTTTGAGAAAGTTGGTTATGTTACCACATTGAAAAAGACAGTGTTGGCTTTCTTCTGAAGAGACCTAAAGATTATTCAGAAAGTAATGAGACCCAACTGCAGAGAAACCTAGAAGAAACACATTATCTGGAACTCTCCTGGTTAGATTTAGGTCCCTTTGTAGGATAGAAATTGCACCGATCACTCAAATGGATAAGCTTTCTCAGAATATGGATGGAGCAAGTGTCTGCCATGGTTAGCAGAGGGTGGGGAAAAACTCCTAGTAAAAAAGCAGAATTGGCTTTTATGGCAGTGAACTTTAGTGCATAACTATTGTGAGATAATTGACAGTTATTATTTTATCTATAATGCAGTGGAATAAAAAATATCAACCAAAGTGGGTTTTTAAATTTTTATCAGCCCAAGAGGACAGTTTAAGTAAAATGCAATTAAAAGGATCATGAAAAAACTTAAAGAAGTAACAAATAGCCTAGCCACATTAGTGCTGGAGATATAGCAGATCCATTTTCACATGCGAAGAAGAACATCAAAGAAACCATTGATGACAGCTAAAGTAAATGAATTAAATACAGATTGGGGGATAGAAAGTGAAGGAAGATGCATTTATCTTTTATTAAAATAAAGGTAACATATTTTATCACTTTTCTAGCCTCAAATTTCTTCTCAGGGCTGTGTTTGTGTGTGTTGGGTAAATACAAATTTGGAATATCTGTATTTAATAATTTAATAATAATCTGTTGCCTTATCTAATTTAGTTAAAATACCTAGAAAAATCTAAAGTATTTCAATCCTATTTTTAAGGAAATTTATTTCTGCCATGTGTGCTATTAAAATAATTGAATGTACTAATGCAAAAGTGTACTGGATGCTGTGGCTTAAAAATGGTTCTGGTCACCAAGAAAGAAAGAAAAATGCTGAGACCCTAGAAAGAGTGTAGAGCAGAGCAACAAAGGTGATAAGGAATCTGGAGTTCAAACCATGAAAGAGGACTAGGTATGTATAGAGCCAGTGGCCTAGAGGTGGAGCTCTTGCCTCATAATCAGGAGGTTGTGAGTTCGATCCTAGGTAGAGGCAGATGTAGGGTTTCCTGCTTGGGCAGGGGGTTGAACTCGATGACCTGCAAGGTCCCTTCCAACTCTGTTAATCTGTTAGTCTAATGAAGAGAAGGTTTAGGAGAAATTTGATACAGTCTTCCAAAACTTGAGAGACTGTCACAGAAAAAGACAGTCAACTTATTCTCCAAGCTGTCTGAGGGCATTACAAAAAACTACAGGTGAAAAATCATTAAAGAGAGATTCAACTTAAAACTAAGGAGAAATTTCCTGAGAGTGAGAACAATTAATCAGTGGAGCAGCTTTCCTCTGTGGATGCTTCATCACTAGCGGTTTCAGGAAGAGACTGGGCAGCCATTTGTCTGGAATAGTACAGGCTCTCCTGCCATGGGCAGGGAGTTGGACAAAAAGACCTCCAAGGTTCCTTCCAACCCAATTCTATGTTCTAGGATATAGAATAGATCTCATCTATGGTGATAGATGAGATCTAAAGAAGAAATATTACATTTTTCTTACCTCTAAAATAGGACACATTATATCTGCTGTAGTGCCACCTTCTTTTTTGCAGAATGCATAAAAGGCCTCAAGATAGGACTAAAAAATAGAACACATTTATTTGAAAAACCCTCTTTGAAAGATCACAAATACAATTTAACTTGAGTTGTTAATTCTGATGCGAGTACAGGACAATAGGAAAAATATGAATACATTATATTGTTTACTGCAGGTTAATGTGTTTCTTCCACCATTAAACTTATAACTCATGTAGATTTTTGTAAATCAAGAGGAGAACTGGATGCATCTCTCTGGTTTGCTTTCTATTTGATTTGACTTGATTGCTACTAGCAATCTTGGATACGATTTTGAGAAGCAAGGCATAGGGATAAGAATAAGTTAGTCTCCTCCACATCCATTTGTCAGATTTGCAAATTTCTGCCTATCCCCTGGAGACTGGAATTAACAATATAAAAACTAGGAATACTGTTGAAGCCAGTGCCTGTGCTGCAAATTTTGAGAGCATATTTATGTGTTCTCAGAAAATGTACTACAGTAAGTTAAGGAAATATGTTTGCCTATGGAGATTCTCAATCATCCAGGTCATGGTTGTCCCAAAGGTGTTTTTTTTCCAAAAGGTAACTGGACATTCTTGGTTTTTTTCTTTGAAAATATTTCACTTCTTATCCAAAAAGGATAAGAAGTGAAATATTTCTTTGATGAGAAGTGAAACGCTTCTTGGATGAGAAGCGAAATGTTTTCAAGGAAAAAACCAAGAAAGTCCAGTTGCCTTTTGGAAAAAGCACCTTTGGGTCTAGAGGATATGTTCTTTGCCTGTTCCTCTAGCCAGTGGTGGGCTGCAACCAGTTTAACAACTGGTTCTGTGAGTGCGCGTTTGCGCGCAGCGTTCAAAATACAGCAATTTGAAGCTCAGCTGTTTGCCTTCTCAGGCAGCCCTGGTAAGTAGAACAACAGAGGTGCGGAAATCAGCTGTGCCACATGAATCAGCTGAGCCGGAAAGAAGGAAATATAGGATAGGATAGGGCAGGAGTGGGTGGGCAGGGCCAGCTAATCGTCAGAACTACCGGTTCGCCCAAACCAGTCCGAACCGGGAGCAGCCCACCACTGCCTGTAGCCCACTTGAATTTCATCCCAAACTATATTGCATAAGATCAATATTAAAATAAAAGTTGAATTTGGAAGTCTTGGTTTCTACTTAATAACTAGAAACATTGCTAAATAGATTTCAACATCAGCTGACAGTGCTTCTTGTAACAGCAACCCTAAAGGGGTAGTCCTACCATTAGATACAGAGATGTCAGGGCATGGGAGTAGCAGTCAAATGTTAGAAAACAGAGCGGTATGTAGACAGCTTATTCTCTGATCTTTAAAGCTGTGTCTACTGTAGAGGAATCATTTAGTGTTAAAATAAGTGTTTTTGAACCTTGGCAGCTTTAGGATGTGTGGACTTCAACTGCAGAGTTCCTCAGTCATCCAGCCAGTTGAATCAGCTTGGGTGCAATGATGAAGAGAGAGGAAGAATTACTTTGTTCTCTGTCCTGCACAGCAAAAAGTTCTTGGGATGACTTTTGCAACATCGTGCAAAAATATGTTTACTAAACTCAGAAGGGCTTAGAAGTGAGCAGAGATTAGCCCCCTGAAAGTTATTGATACCTTCTACGTAGTTAGATGTCTTTTAATGAACAATTATTGTTTGTCTATTGGCAACAGAGAGATTTGAAAGTGTCCATTTAAATATAGTCAGAAAAATATGTTATAGAGTAGGCCGAAGACATGCTCATTCTGTCTTCTCCACATGTCCTTGCATCTGAACTTGCCTAAATTCTATATGCTGAATCCTATTCTTGAACTGAATGGCTTTGTGTGCGACAGATAATAACATAAAGTAGAACAGAAGTCACAAAGTACCTTCAGGTTTTTTGCCACTACATACATCTATCTTATTTGTACTTAATCTTTTATCTATATTTACATTATACCAGTGATAAATCTGCCACTTATTTTAATACTCTTAATTTGTATAAATTTCTCTATGCAACAGAATTCAATAGAATTCAAGTGGGGTTTACCTTGTATAGTTTGTTGCGCATGAGTTCAATATTCATTTCATCCAGATCATTTTCAGATATACAATCTTGAAAAAAATCAGCTGTAAAAAATAATATTTAAACTATAGACCAAATTTCAAAAAAGTTCATTTATTACTTTTTAAAAAACATGTTCAAATGCTATGCAGTTTTTCTAATTATGAAAAAATAGGAGAGAAAATAGGAAAAGTGACATGATTATGGAACAATGTTAATGTTAAATTCTCAGAAGAATTGTGTCAGAATTAAAATGGTAAATGATAGCCATAGCTTCCTGGGGTGCCCTTCTGAAAGATTACCTCACTATGGCTGGCTTTTCTTATTGTTGTTGATGACATTATAAGGAAAGTGATCAGTTTTATAGTGGCTAGGGTGTTGGCAGCACATTGCCAATTCCAGAAACAGGGTCTGAATATAATTGTCTTTAAGAAACCTAAACTATTCTCAAATGTTAGTTATTATTGTAGAATGGGTTAGGAAAAGTAATAGAAAAGTTCTCAAGTTCTCTGATTGGTATATCAGATTTGAAATCTTGGAGAACTATTGTTGTTAGAGCACCTCAATTGCAACATCCAGATGTATGGCTTTTAATTCTGGGAAAGTTTAGCAATAGGCATGCGAGCTGAGACACTGGGAGAAGCGCCTGATTTCAGAAGGGTACCCTTATTCGAAAAGACTGTAGCGATCTGACTCAGTTGAAGGTAGCTTTGGTTCATATGTCAACCAAACTCACATAGAGACCTATTTAGATTGCAAATATGTACCACCACCCCTTTTGCACAGTAAACCAAATTATCATGATGCAGTTATAGGAAATGCTGAAAGTGTTAAAAACCCTGTGTGACTGGAGAAGAGGAAAGGAAATACTCAATACTGAGTTTGACTCTACTGTGTAAATAAATCTGCACCCTTTAAATAAAGTTAATTGGGTTCTTATCATCTTAAAATAAGATCAGTAAATCAATTTTCCAAAGTGATTTCTACATATTGGATGTACCAGAAAATGTTCAGTAAGGATTGTTTGCAGATACCCTTCCCTGTTGGAAATACAATCCAAGATATAATATACATATACATATACATATACATATACATATAATATACATATACATATACATATACATATACATATACATATACATATATATAATTTTATTTTATTTTATTTTATTAAATTTTTATACCGTCCTTCTCCTGCTGGACTCAGGGCGGGGCAAAGCCAAGAATAAAAAACATCCCAATACAAAATTTTAAATTTTAAAAGAAACAAATTTTGGCCCAAAATTTAAAACCTCCCGACTAAAATCCATTTACAATTAAAAATATCTAAAGGGGGGGGTTATGCCAGCCCAGCTGGATGAAATAGAAAAGTTTTGAGGGCACGGCGAAAAGCACGGAGATCTGGTATCCTACGTATCTCCGGGGGAGGTCGTTCCAGAGGGCAGGTGCTGCCATAGAGAAGGCCCTTCCCCTGGGGGTCGCCATATTATTTACTCATATGGTTTGGATTCATTTTATTAATGCTAGATCAATTACTGTCTTATTAACGGGACATATATTTCTCTTGGCTGTCACTCTTAAAATTGGAATTAATCGTTATTAATATTTTTTTCATTTTTCAGATATGGTACTGGTGAAAAGAATCATGATATAACATGGAAAGGAGAAATCTACCTGATTTGCAGCAATGGACTGGTTTAAAATCCCATGTGATTTTTTAAAATCGATTATTTTGACAAAGGGGCAAGAAAGAAGACATTCCTCAATAATGTCATGGAAATTTTGATTGAAAACATTTTTCCAGACTGTTTTTCCTTTTTTCCCTTTACCCCTAATTTTCTTTTCTTTTCTTTTCTTTTCATTATTATTAATTTTGAGGGTATATTATATTGTTAACACTATTGTATGTATATTTCTTCTGTTAACTGATTTACTATAATAAAAGAAATGCATAAAAAGCAAACATTCATACCAAGGGGTATAGCATGTGATATACTTAGCTAAAGGATGTGTAAAAATTGTTTAATATTTATGCCTTCCCAGCACTACAATGATATGTGAGCAATATTCACTAAGTAAATCAGAGCATAATAAGTTATATTCATTTTGATGGGCCACATGCTTTTTTAAAGAAAGAAGTTATAGTAGGAAATGTTCTCTTCTGTGGGAACATACTTGGAAATCTATGAAAAGATTGAGTGACGTACCTAATGGTGTGTCCACCAAGATTGCATTGAAGAGCTCTGCAGGGTTTGGAGCAATGCTGACAGCTTCCATTTGCTCAAAATTGCCCAAAGGATGGCACTTAAGAACCAATTCATCTATGGGTCTTTGGCGCAAGGTACCAGTAATGAGTAGAATCACATTATCAATCATGTAGCTATACCTAGTATGACAAGATAACATCAGTCAAAGGTTTTGTTGCATTCTCTGAAAAATGTTTTAAAATGTAAGAATCAGGTTAATGTTAAATCTAATATCTTGGGCTTTGTAGCAGAACGCTAATTTTCCTCTAAGCGGGGATCATATGATAAAATGGAAATAAGAATTTCTTCACAATGCATGCTACATTAAACAAAATGACAATATCATCAAAAAGGAATCTATTTTGCAGAGCGTAGCACATTAAGAGGTGGGGAAAGTCCAACTCTTTTTACATTTCATTATCTGCATGTGGATTTTGTGATCCTCATTCTTCCTCACCTCTCTATCAGCCATTCTGAAACTTACAACCTCCAAATATTTTGGACCACAACTTTTATCAATCCTGCCCATAGCAGCTGAACTGACGGTACTTGGAAAGCAACAGGTCTGGGAAGAGAATGTTACTTTATATTGATAAATAGGAGACACATGCTACTGACTCTTATTAATAAGTCACATAGCAATGCTTTTGAAGACACATCTCTGCCCTTCTCTGGGTGATAAGTCATTTGGGTTAAATATTTATTTTTTCCTCTTAAAATTTAATTAATACATTTTATAGAGATGTATGCAGACTTTCCCATTTTTACATAAGACAAAGTTAGATTGGTGATGTCAGGGACTTAATATTCTAAGAAATGAATTATCAATTGAAATCCATTTATTTAATTGCAGTATTATATACTGCTGACTCCCAAACAGACTCTCAGCAGGTTACAAAAATACACATAAAATCTACTCCCACTAAAGCAGAATACCAAGTCCAAGTTACATTGGCATCCCAGTAAGCAAATATTAAAACACATAGAATATTTTAATTTATGCATCCTACTTTTTATTATATTAACTCAAAGTGATGAACAAATCCAACACAACTTTCTCTTCCTATTTTCCTCATAACAACAACCCTGTGAGTTGGTTGGACTGAGAGAAAATGACTTGCCTAAGATCACCCAGCTGAATTTTATAGTGAAAGTGGGACTAGAACTCACAGCCTCCAACTTTCTGACCTGATATCTTAATATTGGTTTTCCACTTTATCGGCCTTTGGGGTTAGTACCGCCCAAATCTCCAAGATTAGGATATTCTACGGCAGTGGCTCTCAACCTTCCTAATGCTGCGACCCTTTATTACAGTTCCTCATGTTGTGGTGACCCCCAACCATAAAATTATTCCTAAGACCATTGAAAATATGTGTTTTCCGATGGTCTTAGGCGACCCCTGTGAAAGGGTCGTTCGACCCCCAAAGGGGTCCTGACCCACAGCTTGAGAATCACTGTTCTATGGAAATGGAGCATGTACCAAGAAACACCGTGTTGCTTTCTCTTGATTTCTTCCCAGAGGGGCAGAGATGGAGGTGGGGAAGAGGTCTGTCTGAATTACAGCTCAAGGCAAATGCATTGGATGGAACAGTTCTATTTGAACCAGGCAAACCTATAACTACCTATCCATATTCCAAACCATAAAGGGCTTTATACATTAAAAATAATCGTTGAACTGTACTGCATGTTATACCAAAGCTGGCTTCTGGGTTGTCTTCAAGGGCAATTGCTTATAAAACTCTCTTCAGTAATCAATAGGTTATGTTTCTAATTCAGAATGATAAAACACAGCAATTGGTTCAACAACAAAATCATAATTAATAGTTGAGTAAAAAAAGAAACTGTTTCAAACAAAAGAAAGAAATTAATATTACTATGGTGATGTTAAAGGTAAAGATTTCCTCTGTCCAGTCATGTCCAACTCTAGGGAGCAGTGCTCATCTCTGTTTCTTAGCTGAGGGAGCCATCATGACTAAAACTTTTCCGTGGTCATGTGGCCAGCATGACTATAAGCCAAGGCAACCAGAATGCTGTTACCTTCCCACCAAAGTAGTACCTGTTTATCTATTTGCATTTGCATGCTTTTGAACTGCTAGGTGGACAGGACCTGGGGAGCTCACTCCATCGCACAACACTTGGGTCTTGAACCCAGACTTGTCAGCTGTCCAGTGGACAAGCTCAGCATCTTTAACCGCTGAGCCACTATACCCCCTACAATGGTGTTATAAAGAGTTAAAAGGTAAGTATTTGAATGTATGAGTGAGGTTGGCATTAAGGCTCCGGGCTAGAAACAAGCCTGTCAGTTCTAATCCTGCCTTAGGCCAAAAGCCAGCTGTTTGACCTTTGGCCAGTCAATCTCTCTCAGCTCTAGGAAGCAAGCAATAACAAACCACTTGCAAAAATTTTGCCAAGGAAACTATAGGGAGTAATCCAGACAGTTGCTAGAAGTCAACAAAGGAGAAAAAAATGTACATATTTACTGCAAATCAGAAAAAAAATCAATTACTAACAAATAGCTTGTCAGCATGTTTTGAGTCTCCACATTAGTTTCTTAAATTATCCTATCAAGTAATTTCTATTGTTTTTCTTTAAATGAGCATTACATCATTCTCTTTCACATAAAACACATATTTTTGGACAACAGTCATTTATTTCAATGGAACTTAAAAATGCTCCATTTCTATTTAAATTTATTCAACATTCATAGAATTTGTTCACCACACAATAACAACAGCAACAGAAACTATGGGAATCATTTGCTATAAATTTATTTCCTTAAAATAAATATGCAAATGTTATCACACGAAATAACAAGAATATGTTGTTTTTCCATACATATATTAGGCTTGTGACAGATTTTGCTTTGATAGAATCAGAAGGAGGTTAAAACAGGTTCTAGGTCACTCTGCCTCAATAGGCAGTCTCAACAAAGAGACCCCAAAACGTTGGTGGCAATTCAGGAGACAGACTAAGTCATGTTGTTGTCTAAGAGATAATGACAGATGACTCCCAGTCTCCAGTCTAAGTGCATGTTACTCAAAGTCAGTCAGTTATTCTGACATTTGAGGGGAACAAAAAACCTTCTGTGCTGTAAAGATGTAGCAATAATGAACACAGCTAACACATAATTGTTCTTTTATGAATGTCCAAATTAGCTGCCCAGGGGAAATGTGTTTAGGCTAAAATCAGTCACACTATTTTTCAAGGAAAGGTCTTTAGAAGAAATTGTAGATCCCCCTCTGGATCTGTTACCTAAAATAAATAACTAAGAAAACAATCAGAGGTCTCAGAAGTTTCTTCCCAGATTGCCATATCTCCCAGAATTCTTGTGGGTGAATAGCATCATCCCAAGCATCACTCATAATAAAAATCTGAACTTGGTGGTTGTGTCCAGGCAGATTTCTTGGCAATGTTATGGAAATGTCTTCCCTTTGCCTTCTTCAGCAGGGTGATAGCTTTTATTTACTTTCAGTCTATCCAACAGCCATGGAATTCCTAGATGGTTCTCCATTCAAGTAATTTACCAAGGCTGACTCTACTTAGTTTCCAGAATGCAAGCATCTCAAAGCAACTTTGCCAAGTGAAATATAAACAAGGTTTCTTGGCCTAACATTTGCATCTTTAATTTTTAGATGCAAAATGTTAATTAATATACTTTCATTATCTCCAAGTATTCAGAATGGTTACAACAATAATACAAAACAATGGTAACTAATTGTTCTAAAAATTAATATGTGAATAACAACAACAACAACAACAACAACAACAACAACATCAGGTTGAGAAAGTTTTAGAGAATGAGAAACTCAAGGTCTTGTGGGACTTTAGGATTCAGACTGATAGGCACTTGGTCCACAACACCCCTGACATAACAATAGTTGAAAAGAAAAAAGTATGGTTCATTGACATTGCAATACCTGGTGATGCACGGATTGAAGATAAACAGCAAGAAAAAATCACAAAGTACCAAGACTTGCAAATTGAAGTTGAGCGACTGTGGAAAAAGAAATCGTGTGTTGTCCCAATTGTAATTGGAGCCCTTGGAGCAATACCCAAAGGGCTACCCCGCTATTTAGAAATTCTAAATTTGCCAGACTTGAACATTTTGACTCTCCAAAAAACCACCTTACTCGGAACAGTTTACATCCTCCGACGATACCTTAACAGTTCCTAGGTTCTTGGTTAGGACTCGAGCTGCTGAGCTATTAACCAGCCTCAAAGGCTGTGAATCTCACTAAAGATTAACTAATAACCACCACAACAACAACAACAATGACATATTAAAACAATTTAACTCAATTTAAAGTGGAACATCAAGTAGTAAACATTAATAATCAAATACCACCATCCCTACTTGGGGCCCAAACATACCGAATACTGTTCTACTTGGTTAGCTAAATGCTATACTTCCTAATTGGGTCATCACCTTGTATTATGTAAAAGTCCCATATCAGGTACCCAGAAAATTACAGGATTGCAGTGATCAAGTATCCCTAGCATGTCTACTTCAATCCATGGTGCCAATGCCTGGCATGAAAGAGGATATTTGTTGGCCTTTAGCTCCTTTTGAGTTCTTGTTACAACTGCCAAGGCAAAGGCTAAGGCAACCATGTGAATGGTTATAGGGCATAGTGTAAGACTTGCTCACAATGCTTCCTGCTTGCTACAGGATGTTTCTCAACCTTAGCAATTTAAGATGGGTGGGCTCCAACTCCCAGAATACTGGCTGACGAATTCTGGGAGTTGAAGTCCCTACTCATCTTAAAATAGCTAAGGTTGAGAAACACTGTTCTAAAGAGTGAGAACAATAGCACTTCAATGTTATTGTCAGCTTTGGAAGCCATATTAGGCCGGAAGCTTCCATGCTGCCACCTTCTCATGTGTGGGAAAGTAGGAGGGGGGATTTAGTAGAGGGGTTGTCTTTAGACATAATAGCATTCTTCCTGTAGGTCAAAGTCAGGCCAATCCTGCATCTGGAGAAGGAGTGGTCAGAGTGCTGTCTCGAGATGGGATGGATAGTGATTGGAGCATGTGATCGACTGAAGAGTGAGGGGATGGCTTTGGAGGTTTTGATTTACTGAGGGAAAACCCGGACCTCTCAGATTCAGGTTTTCCCAGATGTGCCAGTTTACCTATTCTAGTAAATAGAATTTTGAAAAATGCTTGCTTCAGAGTTTTTACTTGGAGTTGGGGGGCTTTCTGGAATGCTGACAGTTATTGTGACGGCTCGAAGAGGTATTGGGTATTGGATGTCCTTGCATTTGAATTTGCCCACAAACATTGGATAAGAGCTTTGGGAGAACTTTAAATGAAAATGAGACCCAACCACCTAATACTACTCAGAATGCAAATAATGATAAATATGGTGATGGTGGCGATGGTAGGACTGCTGTCGATAACAACAGACATCATTCCACTATTCAGGATTGCCTGGGTGCTGCTTAACAATGCCACATTTTTACAATGATCTGCATTCAGCATTCTCTGGACATGGTTCGGGCTCAGTCTATTTCATACTGATTTTTAATCACTTCTGAAAACTAACTCATGCTGGGTCATTCTAGGGCTTCCTGTTTATATGACTTGTCAGCCAGTGGAACATGAAGCCACATGAAATGATAAATTTATTTTTGCTGAAAGTTTTCCAACAGAGACTGGATGGTCATGTCTCAGAGATATTCTAGCAGATCCTGCACAACAGGATGAGTGCTAAGCTTTCTTCTACCTCTGTGATTTCTATGTTATGAAATTGCAACCAGTTTTTTACAAAGAAAGAAAGGTCAACAAGGTTAAAAACTCTCTGCCATTTTTATGACTCATCTTTCCTACTGAGTGAAATATTGCTGCAATAACAGAAAAAAATTTCTAGGGAAAAAAAGTTGCACTTCTGTTTCTGATTTTTAAAGAAGGTTACCCAGCTTAGTATCAAGATATCCCAAAGACTAGTAAATGACGGCAAAGAGATATGGAAGACTATCTAGCAGTTGTGTGGCAGCATAAAAATGCTCTATTGCTAAATGTTTGTTGATAATGTAAGTCTATGTATTAAACTGGCGTATGAGTAAAACTTATATTTCTGGATGGAAACATTCTGTATTTTGCTTGCGCATTCCAACAGTGTGAAGCTACCTAGCCAAGAATACACAGTTTATGAAGCGATTTGGCAAGCATAACATGGGGATTTTCATGACTAATATTTAAATAGCAACAGCCTATTTAAGAATATGTATGCATGAGTTAGCTAGGAGTTTTATATATATAATATATATATATAAATTCTAAGATAATTTTCCTTGGGCTGAGTTTAACTTCCGATGAATAGATGAACTTGTCCGTGTTGGTTTCTGGCAACAGACTGGAGGATTTTGTCATGATCTTTTGCAATGTTTTTTGAGTGTCCTACTCTAATCTACAACACCAAGATTTTCTAGTTGTCTCCCACCATGTATTCACCAGATCTGATCACGTTTTTAACAAAATGTTATTATTTTCAAAATTATAAAGATATAGATTTTAGCTCGTCTTCATAGCTCACTGGGACAATCATTTCAGGAAGTAACTTCACTTACGTAACATAATTTAGAAAAGTTGAAAGTGGTTCAAAGGCATGATTTCTAAAATACTGAAATTCTGTCAGCAGTTTGAACTTTAGTTTGTCATCAATTGTAGAGACGGTAAGAGGACCAGTTTCATTGGCCAAGAAGTTTCCATAATCTGTGGTTTGTAAGTGTAACTTCAGGTCTAAAACAGAATCGAAAAGATAGTAACAATAAATTTATTGTTTTCAAAGAAATTAAGTGACAAATCATACTGATTTCCCATTTCAATGACATGTATACAGTTGCACACAATATTTATTTTATTTTTTAAACACTTCCTAGATCAAAGCATCTCAAACCAATAATCATCATGATACCCTAAAATACTATAATACCTTATTCAATAACAAATATAACAATGGAAAAGAATATCTTCACATTTTATATTGGGAAGGCCTTGGTGAAGAATATATTTTCAACAGACACTTTAAAGATCATTTATTGTAGTAGGCATTTCGGGGTAGGGGAGCATTCCAGAGTGTGAATGTTCCTGTGTTTAGTTTTAATCTCCAATCTGGCTACAAATCATAATTTGTTTACAGATTATAAATCTGGATTTGAAATCATATCTGAAGCAATTTTCCAAATAACAATCGGCGCAAACAATAGTTTCTGTTGAATTCAAAAGATAAAAGTGTAAGTAAGAAATTAGAGAATGCATAACCAAACCAAAATATATAAATAATTTATTAGGCATGTTGTTCTCCTAAGAAGCCAAAATCTGAAAGCAGAATGTGCTCTTGGCCCCAAATCCTGGTTTACAAAGCCTGGATCCTAACTGAAGAAAACTAGATAGAAATGTTATTCTTTGAATAAGACAGCAAAATTTACTTGCTATGGCAATCACAATCTCTCCTCAAAATAGGTCTATCAGATCTAAACTGCCACTAGATTGTAGCAATGATAAAGTCTAACTCAGGTGTCAGCTAATGGCTATCTGGAATTATGCAGCTCACATCTGGTATCTCAGATTAAATGTATTAGGGGCAATCATTCTGGCTGAGTTTAAGGAATTTAATCATAGTTGACATTGAGTTCAATTTCAATTTTGGTTAACTGCAATTTATTTACTATCCACTTACTTACCTTAATTCAACTCCCTTTTGGGATAGCAGCCCTTGCATGCCACAAAACGATCCAGTTCAGATTTCTAGATTGCTCCTGGAGGTTGGATTACAGGGATTATATCCTTTAATTGTTCCCAATACTCCAAATTGGAATTATTATATGGGATTGCGTTTGCCATTAAAGTGCTAACCAATATAAATCCAGATATTGGGTACGGAGCCATTGTTTTGTTTTATAAAATTATTGTTGTTGTTGTTGTTGTTATTGTTATTATTATGACAGTATACACAGCAAACGAGATAACCATACTGGGTTTCATATCACAAATCACTAGTCGAATACTTCCCAAGCGTTTAGGACTGAGTGATGTATTGGCGGATTATGCGAGCAGATCCCAGTAAGGTGGCCTTCTGCAACTGACCAATGGTGATCTTGTCAGCGCCAATCGTTTTTTAAGTGCTTGCTTAGGTCTTTAGGCACAGCACCCAGTGTGCCGAGTACCACTGGAACCACCTGCACTGGTTTATGCAAGAGTCTCTGCAGTTCGATTCTCAAGTCCTGATATCTGGTGATTTTTCAAGTTGTTTCTCGTTGATTCTGCTGTCACCAGGTATGGCAATGTCGACAATCCACACTTTTTTCTTCTCCACAATTGTGATATCTGGGGTATTGTGTTCCAAAACTTTATCAGACTGTATTCGAAAGTCCCACAGTAGTTTTGTTGTTGTTGTTGTTGTTGTTGTTGTTGTTGTTGTTGTTTACTTTATTCATTAAACATGAATTCAGTCAACTGAACATTCAAAAATGCATCACAAATACCATTGACTGGTGCTAATGGTTGATACAGGTTGCTGCCAGCATCCTAGGTATCAACCAAGTACCTTCTTAAGATGTACAATGTTCCAAGTAGCACAGTTTTTTGCAATTCTGCTGGTGTTATTGCAGGAAGCTGCAATTTCTTGATGTATTTTATAAAATTCTTGGACATGGTACCAAGTGCCCCAATGACAATGGGTATCACTGTTACATGTTTCATCCATAATTGCATAGTTTCGATGGCCATGTCGCAATATTTTATGATTTTTCCAGTTCTTTATCTTCGACTCTGGCATCTCCTGGTACCACGATATCAATAAATAGTATGTTTTGGTTTTTGACAACTGTGATATCTGGCATGTTTTTATTTATTTTATTTTATTTGTTTAAATTTCTATACCGCCCTTCTCCAAATAGGACTCAGGGCGGTGCACAGCCTAAGTAAAAACAAAGCATACAAAATTTAAAAAACAGTATTAAAATAATTAAATATTCTGGCCGTAAATTAAAACAACCCAATTTAAAATCAATTTAAAATTTAGCTCAAGCCAGCCCAGCTAGTTGAAATAAATAGGTTTTCAGGGCCCGACGAAAAATCTGGAGGTTGTGTTGTGTTCCAAAAGATGATCCATCTGTATTTGAAAGTCCCACAAGATCTTCACCTTCTCATTTTTGATAATTTTTTCCACTTTATATTCCCATGACTTTTTGGATACAGGTAAATCGTATTTTTTACATAATGACCAGTGGATTAATTTAGCAACTCGGTCATTTCTAGCTTTTTAATCACTTTGTGCAATTTTGCTGCATTCACATATTAAATGTGAAACATTTTTGACTTTGTTGTTGCAAAATTGGCAGTTTGGATTGTCAGTGGATTTTTGTATCTTCACTTTCATGGCATTAGTTTGTAGTGCTTGTTCTTTTTATTCTTTTTATTATTGTTGTTGTTGTTGTTATTATTATTATTATACTTTCACTACTCATTTATTCCCTAAGCAGTAAAAAAATTATAGCAGCTTTTATAGGAACATTTCAAAAAGAAAACTATGAACATCTTGATTTTTTTTCTTTAAAAAAAAATTGCAGCTGTATAGATCAAAACCAACCAGGTAGGGAAATCTAGTTCAAAGAAATGCATCAATCCAAGCTGTAGATGTAACAAGACCAGAGCAAAGTACTGCAAAGCTGCTGTCATGTTGAGTCACGCAACCTATTGTATCATGGCAGCACACCATAGTTTTTTGGGTTTTTTTTAATTTGATTTATATGCCGCCCTTCTCCGGAGACTCAGGGCGTCTTACAGTGCATTAAGCAATAGCCTTCATACTTTTGTATATTTATACAAAGTCAGCTTATTGCCCCCACAAACTGGGTCCTCATTTAACCTACCTTAGAAAGGATGGAAGGCTGAGTCAACCTTGAGCCTGGTAAGATTCGAACCTGCAGAAATTGCAGGCAGCTGTGTTAATAACAGGGTGCATTAAACCACTGTACTACCAAGACTCCTTTTATAAGTTTATAAGTGAAGATTTCTTGCAGAGCACACTATGAATGCGAGCTTAATTAATATGTTTCAAAATGTTTAGGTTTCAGGAACGCAGTAGGCAATAATCATCTTATATGCCTTCTTTTATTTCTATCAATTCCTACTGTGTTTCCCCGAAAATAAGACCCTGTCTTATATTTTTTTGAACCCTGAAATAAGCGCTTGGCCTTATTTTTGGGAGGGTCTTATTATTTTGGGGTGCATGGAGGAAACCAGAGGAAATGGCGGGGACCGGCTGCACATGTGTTTAAATATTTTCAGGGAGGACTTATTATCAGGGCATGTCTTATTTTAGGGGAAACAGGGTACATAATTTCTGGAAACTAACTTCTTCAATTCCAGAAGCAGTAATTTCCTCTTTCCATTACAATGAGGTTGAAAGCTCCAGTTCCGTAGTATCATTCTCATAAAGATGGTTGTTTGGGTGGGTGAGTTTTTCTAAGAAAAACCAAAACTTTTCATTTCAAAGTTCATTTTAATAGGGAGGAAGAGAGAGAGAATAATTGTCTGCTAAATAAATCAGAAAAATGAACCAGAATGAATCAGAAGAAAGGTGGTGTTGGAAATGTGTGAAGAGATTGGGCTACTAGATTGGTGCTGTAAATATCCAGACAGCTGTGAATGACAGTGACACATTTTCTGTATGTCTTTATTGATATCTAGCATCATGCAGTCTTTCAAGGTTAAATCTAGCAGTTGCTTTATGTCAACTAGGCTAAAGCCTGCCAATATAAACTAATCAGGATTGTATGCTAAACAAAGGGCTGCAGAATTAAAAACAGTGATCTGTTGGTAAAAACATTGTGAAGATTATAGCCTTACCTGCAGTAAAAGGGTGAGATGTGAAATAATCAGAGGCATTGGTCCTGCATATTTGCTCCCTAAGTTATTTATTTTATTTCTTTTCTTTTTTAAAATGACCTTTTTCAAGGTTGACTCAGCCTTCCATCCTTTCTAAGGTAGGTAAATTGAGGACCCAGTTTGTGGGGGCAATAAGCTGACTTTGTATAAAATATATAAAAGTATGAAGGCTATTGCTTAATGCATTGTAAGCCGCCCTGAGTCTCCAGAGAAGGGCGGCATATAAATCAAATTAAAAAAAAAATAAAAAATAGAAATGATACATAGATGAAACTCTAAATGCATGATTTACCTGAAGTTAATCACCTCTCAGACTGCCCTGAAGAATTCAGAAAGATCAGGATCCAAAAATAACCTATAATGACCTCAAAACATGAGCCCGTTGTTGTATTCAAGTGACTCTAATTGTGTTGGAAATTTAAAATACCACAAATATAACATGCATAATGCATCTCTAGTAATTTTTAGTCATGCACATGATCGCATGAAATAAATTAGTAGGAATTCGTGCATTTGTGCCTTCTTGTTTTAAGTTGTTACATTTGTATTAATTATTCTGGAATTACTTTAGGTTCATCTATGGGTTATACAGAACTTCTATTCTAGTTTCCTTTGGAAGTATTGAATGCAGCCCACTAATAGTTCAATATAGTCATATATTAGATATATGTACATATTTATTGCAGCTTCTCTTATAAATCTAACCCTAACTCTATAAATCTGTTGCAGCTTCAAGACATCCTAAAGTGTAGCCAAAAATGTTAACAGAGAAATGTTTTTGCTTGTGAATTAAAAAAAAAAAAAAGTCTTAACATTCTACTTTTGCTTCAGGTAATGTCTTAATGTAA